CCCAGCAGCAGGTGAAACTGTCAGCCAAAGCTGCTGGTTGACTCAGGCAGACCATATGATTGCTTTGACAGGCTGCTGTGTTGGATCTAGGATCAAAGAAAACATTAATTTGTCCCCTTCCTGCACCCTCCAGGGCCTAAGGTCAGGTGCTAGGGTTGAGGTTCTGCCTGAACAGCTGTGAAATTGACATGTCCCATCCTACTACCCACAATTTCACCTATTTTCTAATCATCCTCGATTTACACCCAGACCTTTCATCTGGAAGAGTCAAGTCCAGTGAGACAGGGGCATTTTTTAAAAACTTACAAAGACTCTTTATGTCCCCATCTTGGCCTGTGTGGGCTACTATAGGAGGACTTGGTAAGCTGTGGACTCAACCAAGTGGTTATCTTCACCATCTAGGACCACATCTTTCCAATAAAACCACCCAGGAAACTGGACCAAAATCAAAGTCTGAATTCCTTAAGCCCCTTCTGGCTGGGCTACCATATGGAGGCTGAACTAACCAGGCTGATCTGAGGTTGCTGTTGGGGAAGAAAGGATGCATCATGTCCAGCAATGGTCAGGGTAGAATCCTGAATAGGTCTATATAACCTCCTACCTCTTTCATCCTGATCATTTCAAAGGAGTAGACAGGAGATGAAACCTTTCCGAGGATGGTCACATTCAGAGATCAAACTGCCCTACTAAGGTCTTTGGATCAGAAGGTGAGGGAGGCAGAATCAAGTCTTTGTGAATTAATTTTTGAAGAGGCCATTCCAGTGTGCTCACAAAACCAGATGCACGTAGATGGTAGAGAATGTGGAATGCCCACTGAACAATCTGACTGTTGACCTAATGCTGGTGGCCTCTGTGAAATAAGGTGTGTAGCAGACTGTAGATCATCTGGAAAGCCAGAAATCTAAGTTTGGTTTCAAGTGTTACAGTGGTATGGCTAGAGTTAGCTGATTGGACTTAAATAGCAAAATCATAACCTGAAAGTATCAACAGTGATGAGGCACCGAGAACAGCGTCAAAGGTCTGACATAGTTTGCCAGCAGTGAGTGGTGGCCCAGTGCAATGTGGACTCCTTTACCACAAGACAAATAAACCGTCTCTGGGCAAAAGTCACAAGTCAGGTATGCTGTGGTAGATTTTACATCAGAAACATGTAGTCCTTTATTGTGCTCCCAGTCTACAGTGGTGGATGTGTCTCCTTTCCTATGCAATAGAGGATCCAGGTAGCAATGGCAGCAATCTGGATGCTGCAGTCTTGATAAGTAGCTCAACTCCATTGAGACTCATCAAAGACTGGGCCCGGGCTGTGTGCATCTACAGAAGTAACCCAGACTATCAGATGAGCAGCTGCAATTTAGTCTCACAGAGTATAGCCCCAAACAATGGCACTTTAATCCGCCAGCTGTAGTCTTCCAAGTGGCGGATCAGACAGGTAGGCCATTGGTAACAGCCTAAGAGTTCCCTTCCTGTACCCTCAGTGCAGCCCAAGAGTCAGTATGAATGTAGCAAGTTTCATCAAGAGGTCAGAGATTGGTCAGGGATATGAGGAATGCCTTGAATTCTGCCCACTGAATGGAGTGACCACATCTGCTTTTGGTTCTACATAGCTGGAGCATGGAGGAACAGCAGCAGCCGCCGAAAAACACTATCAGCTTTTAAGTTAGCTGAATATGTCAGTAACCTGGCCCAGGCATCAAGGGAAAGCACTGGGAATTGGCCCCCCAAGCCAGAAACTTTACTTCAGGTAGTGAAATAGGGCATAATGGTTTGTCCCAAAGGGGTAGCTGCCACTTTGTTATGTAAACCTAAGATTATGCTAGGTTGATGCAACTGTGCTCTTGAATATACCATTTCCATTTGATCAGAGAGACTCGTTGGGTCCCTTCCATCTTGTTAGTCACTGAATCCTAGTTGACCAATGCCAGAACGTAAACATCAGATGTTAGAGTCACAAGCCTTCCCTGGGTCAGGCATTCAGTTTCAACAAGCACGCTGAAGTCCCTTAAGAGCAGCTTTTTAAAAAGTGGTGAACTTGATGGCTGATCCAGGAGTTGACATTGTCATACTTGGAAACTGCCTCTGTGGGTGTTCCAAAGGTCACAAAGTCCTTAACTAAAGGTGTGATTCTCCCTTTCTCCTCCTGGGATTCTATGTTGTTTCTGCTAGTCTACCTGGGAGTAGACAGTACATGTCATGTGGTAGGCCCGGAATGAGAGTATCTCCCTTTAGACTTCATGAGCATTCACAGAATTCACAGTATAAACATGTACAATATCAACACCAGTTATATACTCAGATGTGGGAGCCACAACAATAAAAGGACACTGAATTGGTCTAGTGATCCTTTTAATTCCTTTCCCCATCATGAGAGCCTTCCAAACCCCATCAGCCGGGTCTGGGTGCCTTTTCCTGTAGGAACACAGATCAAGGAGCACATGTTAGGGCCACAGTAACAGTTACCAGAAGACTGCTAATCACCCAGCCAGGAGCACAGTGAGTACAGAACGGCAGGGGAAGAGAGAGGGGAGCAGTAGGAAAGAAATTTAAGTATTGAGCTTCTGTCTCCCCAACTCATGGGGCCCTTGTCCTTCCTCTCCCAGAAAGCCAGGTGTCTGTCAACATCCCACCTTTGTTTCTAAAACTATCAAGAACTGTAAGATGTCTAAGGTTTGATTTTACCCTACTTACAAAGTAATAAGTTAGGCTTTTTTCATTTCACGGTTCTGGCAGAAGACATGAGACTCTTGGGTCAAAGATAAAGGACTTATTGCTCATGGTACAGCAAGCCGCGTGAGCATTATGCTTGCCCCCACCAAGTTCGACAGGGGGTGACAAAAGATGGACCTAAAAGGATACTCCACAAACAGTGGGTGTATGTTGCAGCTGAGGAACACTGTACTTGGGGAACCACCGTTTTATAGCAAGCAATAAACAAGTCTGCTCCTCTTTCCAAAGGAAAACGTTACCTCCTTCTTCAAGCTTGTGCACTGCAAACACAACCCTGAGAAATGGCTCAGGTGAAGAGTGTTCAGGGTCTTGCGTGTTTTATTGGTCAGACCAAGAAAGAAGATGCAAGGACTCACAAGGTCCATGGCAGGTTGCCTCTCCCAACAGCTTAATGTTAATGTTTTTTTTTAATCTTAATTTAATTTTAGATTTAATATCTAAATATTTAACTGAATTTTAATATTAGTTTCTATAAGAAAACTATAAAGTCAAATATCAGAAATCAATAGCAACATAATAAATTTTAAAAGTTACCAAAATTACCTCTAAAAAATGCACTAGGAAAGAAAAACAACACACTAGGGCTGACAATTTCCTAGTCTATTAATGCAATGAAGGGACAGATAATTCCTATAGAACTCTTATAGAGCAACACGGTTGCCTAATTCACTACATGAAGCCAGAATGACTCTGATGAACAAAAATAGCGTAAATAATTTAAACAAAAGCTAATCTCTTTTATTAAAATAGAAACATGAATCAATAAAAACATAAGCAATCTTAATTCAACAGAAATTAAGATAATCCCACATCACTAACAAATAGTTTTCCCTAGAAATGCAAAGAAGGTATATTTTAAAATATACCACCATAATATACAGTATGCCCAATGAGAAAAACTTTGTATCCACCTCAATAGATGAAAAAATAATTGATAAAATTAAACAATTATTTCTGATTTCAAAAACCTCAGAAGATAATAAAACTGTAAAGTTTTAAAAGGAGATATGAAGAAGACACCATGTTATCTGTTGAGAGATTTAATGTAAGAAAGATTTAAATTCTTAAATTAACCAACGAGTTTAACATAATTCTAATTAAAACCCTACCAAGGCTCTTTAGGGAGGCAATTTGGCAGGAGGAAAAGGACTCTATGTTAATTCGAAAGCAGCAACAAGCGCAAAGAGCTAAGAAATTCTGGAGGGAAAAGAGCAGCAATGAAGAGGCAATCGTCCTGTGAGATATTAGAATATATTACAAAGCAATAAACAGTAAAACAGCAGGGAACTGCTACAAGAAACAGATACTGGTACAGAACAGACAGCTATAAAGTAGGCCATAATATAAATAAAATCAATACAAAAATTGACTAGCCATCTGAGCAGAAAAAGATCTGACTGGATTCTTACTTTCTGATTAAAATAAATTACAGATGGATTAAAAGTTTAAGGTAAGAGAAAAAACTTTAAGAAAGGTACCACAAAATCTTAGTAAAATTTCTTACTCAGGTTTGGGAAAAACTGTCTAAGTATAAAAACATACACACGTGACAGAAAAATTTGGCTACATAAAAATACAAGCCTTATGCATATCAAAATAAGTCTGAAATAAGAAAATATTAGAAGAGATTTCCAACAAATAAGAGAAGCACTACTATGAATCACTAAACACATGTTAGTGTTTAACATATAAAGAGCTCTTTCAAAATTAGAGAAACTAAAGTATAAATAATCAGGTAGTAAAACATACACTGGTATTACTATGTAAAAAAATCACTAATAAATTAATAATTTCCTTTCTACTTCCCATATTCATTTGTATTAAATACTTGGAGGAAGCAAAAAAAAAGTTTTGAGTAATACATTATAAAAAAGCAACTCTATCTACATTATTGTTTTTATTATTAATTTTTCACTCCCAAGGTACACACTTGATATTTAAAGAGATACAGTCCAAATAAAGGTACAGTTTTACAAGTTTATTTGAAAAAACAAATTATGTTTATAGAAAACAATATCTCATTTTTCATGGTATTTTTGTACAATTTATATTCTAAAATCAAAAGCTAATCAAGACAAATATTGAAAGTACTCATATATTTTAGAAAAGGACTTAGACCACCAGCTCAGATACATTCAGTTTTTCAACACGGATCACATTTTTTAACATACAATGTCTTGGAATATTAAAATTTTGTATTATAAGAAATTTCTGCTATTTCAACCCTTAGCTTTTTTATAAACCACTTCTTTCACAACAGGCTATCATTAATTTACCTTGAAGTAGCCTTCTTCAGCAGCTTTTTAATCTCATTAATTTTACAGGTGTGCTTCTTATGGATAACCACAAACGCATCGCAACCATCTGGTGGCGGCTCATCAGCTGCAATCTAAAATTTCAAAGATTATATTTAGCTAAAGTAGTTGATAATTACAATATGATTCAAAAAACTCACACATTACTTTGATTAGAATAACTCATCAACTACTATTAAGTTATTGCTCTAATTAAAGTAAAAAATACCTATATGCAGGCAGAATAAAATATTTTTACAAAATCAACTTTACAGTGGGAAATACATGCTTCAAAGTTGTTGAAAAAGTTCCATTAAATTAAAATTTCCACTATAGTTCATTTCAATGGTGTTTTGTCCTCACAATTTCCTTATCCCAAATAAAAAATTACATACTTGATTATATAAAAATCTACGATAACGCAATCAATGATAAGCTATGGAACCAGGTATTATAAGTTTGCGGATCCTTCTGAATCAAAGATATTCACATTAAGATAGATTTATGTACATTGCTAGCATGCTTCTTTGTCAAATACAGTTTGGGTATTTTTACATACCTGTTGAAACATCTGAATAGTTGGAGAGTATGCCCTTATAGAGAAAGCAAACTTCAAGAGATTGATGTGTAAATTGTCTAAGAATTGTCCAGCTTTCTTTAGGATTAAGTTGTAATAGGAATAATCTGATTCTATAAAAAGTAATCAAAAGAACAGAATGTTATTTCATACTCAACACCTTGGCACATCTCTCACTGTAAAGCTAACTTAATTAATGTCATATAACCATGTCTTAAGTTTGGTTATGGATGGTGTTAGAGAAAAATGGAAAACCAAGATCTTTGTTACATTAATTTCATTTGGATCTTCAGTGAAGCTCAAGCAATCAATGCAAGACTAGGTGAAAATAATCTAGTCATTAAAATCTTTTTGGAAGATGCCACCACATCAGACCAATTCACTCCCAGGTTTTCGAGTGATGAAACGCAGATAAGATACAGGCCCTACCTACAACTTCAGAGGAGACTAAGAACAACATAGAAAACTTAAAGAATAATCTGACAGCCAATTCGTTTACATTACACGTATGAATAAGTCCTACTGGGACTTAGTACACACAGCCAAGCGTAATCAGTGTGCCCAAACACTTTAGGAGACAGAATTTGAAACAGACCTTAAAGAATAAGAGAAAAGTCTTCTTGTCTGGAACAAAGTAAGCTGAACTGCTGGTTCCCTCCTTTAAACCCATCTCCAAAGATTACAAAGACTCAAAAGAGAAGGACGAACCTGACAATTCAATTTAAAAACTCTTGGACACTCCTGGGGAGACAGAGCTCATTTGGATGGGAGAGGGCAGTAGAGAATGGCAGTCTGAAGAGCTGAAGAGGGCCTGGTGGCTCTAACGAGGACAAGCAGGCAGCGAATGAACTATTTTTGTCCCCCTTTTTTTTTTCTCTATACTGCTCTGAGTGTAATCATTGTTTGCATTGTTGCCATTGTGCCAGAAAAATGCAGTACCATTCCACTGCCAGTCAGAGGTGGTAAGGTAACAACAGAGCAGCTCTGGAGTTTAGCTGGTACAGATATCCATAAGCTGGCCCCTGGACATTCCCTGGTCATTTCTTCTCTCCTTTACTCCTTGGAACTGGGTTACCAACTGACGGAAAACTTGTTAAACAAAAGGACAGAGTTGGGGTAGTTCTAAAACAGTTACCCATAGATCAGCGTTCCCTGACGTGAAATGGGAGGGCGAAAGAGGTGTGTAAAACCAGACATTCTCCTGGGAGGAGGAAAAAGGATGCTGACTGGAAGAAGACACTTGGGGGAGGCAAGGGAGACTGGATTGTTGGTTGATTACTACAATGTTTACTATTTGTTCAGAAGGTTCTGGGCTCTTAACCCTTGGTTCTTCTACTGACCACAACCCATTCATGGTGCAGGTATCATCTGGCCCTGTACATTGTCCTATGTGAATTGGGGCTCAAAAAACTAATAAAAATATGTGGACATCATGGTTATTGCTTTTGGTTTGAATAATAGTCTTTTGTCTCTGATACAGGGGTCTTTTGTCTTCTGTCAGCATCCATGCAACTAATCTGTCAGCATGCAAGTAGGGTAAAATCTCAGATCCTTCACAGTATTTGACAGATTTGACAACAAAAATTGAATGCTGACAGATACACGGATTTTTGGAGGAGAAAACACTTGGTCCCATGGGCAAATTAACAGGATTTGAGGAAAGCCCTTGTAAATTCATAGTGGACATACTGACAAAATTGTATGGTCAATCAGGCAATAAATGGTCCTCCACTTATTGCCTGTTAATGAAAAGAAAATTTGAAGAAGATTACAGGCTAAGAACTGGGCAGTAGATTCACAAGCATTTGCCCAAATGTCTTAGTTGTTAACTCTCCTTCATATAAGTGGACTTCCTCACCAATTGTTCTGTCAGCTTCAAGTCCATTCCACTGTGACAAGTACAAAGACCTGTCTTGGATTAGAGCAAGGTTCAATCTTCTTCAGACAACAGATACAGAGATGCACACCTACACTTAGGGAGAAAGGAAGGAAATCTGTGACCACCATGGTCAGAAGGCTGGCACATCATCAGAACTTTGGTTTGCCTGGCAGATGAGAGGATGAAGTACATAATGCAGAATTACAACCACCTTAAGATTCAATCACTTCTACAGTGTATCATGCCAACCTTAGATCCTTTCAAAGATGACAGTAAAAAGACTCCGAGTTATTGTAATAGGTCCTGGCTGATAAGAGAGAGCTATGGCCCACTTGGGAGATTTTCCTTGGTCAGTTACAAAGTCTTCCAGCTCTGATCCAGGAGTCTCATATCTCATGTCTTATGTCTGTCTGATGCTTGAAACTGTGAGAAGTAAGTTTTGGGCTTGCAAGTAGCATAAAAATCTCAGCCCCTCTACAGTTATTGATAAAAAGCTCAGATATGAGATGACCAAAAAACAGGGGGATATGAAAATATTTCTGAAAGAACTCAGGAAAGAACAAAAAAAATACTAGAAAGTATAGACTAAATTAGAAATAACAAATGAGTAAAAAGACATCACGGAAAACATCGTAAAAGAAATAGAGAATACACAGGGAAAATGTGAAGAAAATAGAAAAAAAAGCAGAGAAGATGAAAAAAGATTTGAGAGTAAATGACAGATACAGAAGACAGGCAAAGAAGACCTACAATGTGTATAATTGTAACACTAAAGTGGAAAATCAAGGGACTAGAACAGAATGAACAAAGAAAATTATAACCCAAGAAGACCTTCCAGAATTAAAAGGAGTAATCAATCTACATGTCTAAGAATAAAGACTCAGAACGGTAAGCCCTGAAAAATTTTCTAGTAAAACGATGAGATCCTAAAGTTAAAAATCTGAAGTTTAAAATACACATAGTTATGTACATGAAGAACTCAAGGCCATTATTCCTAGGAGTTATTCATGAGGTATCAACTAGAGAGTAAACTTTACATAACCAAGAAATAATTGAAAAAATGCAGCATAAAGTTTGATGGTGAGCTTTCAATATGACTTAACTGTAGAAATAAGACTAAATTTAGGAGTTAAGATTTACGAAAGACTATAAATGTTCTGGCAATGCTCTGGTGATGTAGAAAAATATACCACTAACAAAAACGCTACAAAAGGGAAATTAGCTAGAAAGTAAAGTAAGCTCAGTGATTCCTCATAAATATTGGCTGGGAATAAAAGAGTATCATTGAAGTCAACAAAGCAAGTAGTAGAAGCTTATGCATACTAAGAATACAAAAATAAAGACTAAGACTATTTGTGAATAAAACCAGATGGTGGTGGGGGAAGAAAGGACCACTAGCCATTTCAACACTGCTTGTAGGGGACCAACAGAAAATATCTAAAGAGGAGGTTAACAACTCACGGCCTTCACACGTGTTATTTCTTTTGTGTGAAATGCAGGAGGGTAGCAGGTGCACGTTTGGCCAACTTCTATTCAGCAAATCTCAGCTTAAATGACATTTGTCTTTAAAAGAGTTTCCCCTGACCTCCCAAGTCTAGATCCTGCTATACACTCTGACGGGACCCTATACTATCTCGAGAGTAAGTCTCAAAACTGTAATTAAAAATACTTGTATAATTATTTGCTTAATGCTGTCCTTCCCGTTAAGCTATAAACTGTGAAGGCAGGAATCTTTCCTGGCTTGCAATGGTACCTTTCCACTCCCACACACAAAACAGGTATTCAATACATTTTTGGAATTAATATTTAAGAACTGAATAGGTCTCTTCATTCTAGGCAATAATTTTTTCCTAATCCAGTAGTTTTAAAGAGTTATCATATGACAGAAGGTGTGCTCATTCACTCCTACTTCTTTAAGAAACTAGAGGTGATTTCTCAGGAAGTTATGGTGAGTTACCCTACAAGAATCAAAAAATAATCCAAATAAGACTCACCTTCAACAGTAAAGAAAATTCACAAAACAGATTAGAGATGTTATCTTAAAAATTGATCATAAAAAAACCTAATAGCTATAGGACCAACAAGAAAATAGCTAAAATTAGTGTAATAACGTAACGAAAATAAGACTACATCATCAAAAGGGGAGTGGTTATCCATGTAAACAGAGAAGAGAGTCAACATAAACAAATGTGAGTAGTGCCTGACAACAGACGTCAAATTTTGTCAGGGTCACTGTTAAGGTTGTCTCTAATGTAGAGACGGATGTAGGATTCAGGGGTTTATAGAAAGTAAACATCTGTGACTAAGGCTTAACTTGCAAGATTGTCTCAATCATGAGATGGAGGCATTGGACTGATGTTTTAAAATAACTAAATCTATGCTCACCAACTAACCTGCTCATAATTTTACCCTTTCAATATCCTTCATCTTCGACCTCACCTCTTACACCATTTTTGCCTACTCGCATTTAAGATACAAAAATCACTCTTATCTTCAAAAAAGGGAAAAAAAGCAGCAGCCGCCTTCAGTCAGCTACTGATTCATCTTATTCGCTTCATAGTCAATTTTGAAAGACTTAAAATACTTAGCTCTGCTTCCTCAACCTCTACTCACACCTCAATCTACTGTAGTTTTGATTCCCATACCAGTGAAATGGCTCTCACCAAAGCCACCAATAATTTTTCTGTTGTTAAAGCTTAATATTCATATTACTTCATCTGTCTATGGCATTTGATAACATCTGTCATTTACCGCTCAATATTCTTCTGGCTTTCATGACATTACACTTCCTGGGTTTTCACCTACCTCCACAGTACTCCTTCTTAGTCTCCATTGTGTATCTTCCTCTGGTTATAGTTTAAACATTGGTGTTTTTCAGGGTTCTGCCCTTGGGACCTATTTTCTTCTCATTCTATACTTTCTCCCTATAACTTCAATTACCCTCTCAATGTTGATAACTCCCCAACCCTACCCTTTAGCCTAGATTTTTTTTACCTAAATCTCTCACTCATATATCAGCTTGCTGGATATCTTCACTTGGATGTTCCACAAGCACTTCAAATGTGACACCTCCAAACCGCAATCATCCTCCTACCCCAAACCCGCTTTGAGTTAGAAATGTCATAACATTTTCTGAAAATCTTTCCATTAAAACATAGAAGCACCTTGACTTGTGTAGAAACCATTAATATCCTCAATGACTGTGAGAATGAGACTCTTAAATGCTGAGCACATGGAGAAGTGAAAATAAATAGGGACTTTGGAGTCAGAAAAACCTTGGTTGACATTTCTAACTCACCACACAAAACTACACAGATTAGCTACTATGATGCCACTTGAATCCTGAGGCATCAATAAATACATAACTCTGTGGCACAACCATAAAAATGGTTAAGAAACAGGTAATTCAATGTTTAAAAGTCTTAATTTGCTACACATAATGTAAAGTATTCTCACTAAATGGCATGAAACTAGCACCTTAATTTAAAAAGTTAAATGTTCAATATTTACAACGTTTTTGGGCAAGTGGATCACTAGGATTATTCCTTAGTAAAGAGTGTTTAGAGGGTCTCGTGGAGATTCAACAACCTAAACAATTATTAACTGAGGATTTAAAATGTTTCCTCTAGGATAATGTCTTGCAAACAAATTCAATAAAATCCGACAGTTGTTAACATATTTAATTCCTATATACCATTCTTTCTTACGCCTAACAGGTCAGCAATGATGCTGCATACGCATTTGACTCTTACCATTTTAAGTTCAACAGAATTATATTTTCAGTGTTAGCAATTCTTACTTAACAGAATTTCTTTTAGGTTCCACCCTGAAATACACACACCTCCTATAGTATATGCTTGAAGTAGAGTTTAGGTATTCCTGAGCTTAAATTCCAACTTGTTAATTATCTACCACCAGTTTGTCCAGGTATGTCATTTCATTTAGGTATAAAATATGCTGATATGCTTAAGTAACTTAAAATAAGAGTTCAAAATTTACGAAAGCAATTTTCAAGATTTCTTCTCCCATGGAAAATGGCACTGAATAAGGCCATAAAGCACGCACTGAGAACAAGACATTTGGGATAGAGATATTCAGGATTTTAGGTGAGAGCCAGGAAATGTGGTGTTGGATTTTATAACTATCAGGAAAACCTGACATATTAATCTAGCCTATTTTTACCTCAGACACCAAAACTAAAAGCACCAGGACAAATACAAAGCCAAGAAACAACAATTTTCCACTGACTTGAAAGTAGATTTCTAAGCGGTCAGAGGTCCTCTGTGCATTCCATTCCTGTCTCTTCTAGTCTTCTCCCTTCCCTAAATCCTGCCTAAATCTTATCAACCAAACTCAACTCCAGCATTCACCACTGGAAAGGCTGTCCTGCTCTCTCTGAAACACTGGCTAGGTGCCTTTGTGTGTGCTCCTGTGTCATGCATACCCCTATTAAAGCTCTTATCACCCAATAGTATACTTAGCTGTTTTGCTGTGTCCATCATACTATGAGGTCCAGAGAACACAGATCACATTTATTCATCTCTGTATTCCCAGGATCTAAGCAGTGGGGCATACTATCTCCTGTGACTCAAATAACGATTATCAAATAATCAATCTTTACAGCACAATTTTTCTGACAGAGGAAATTACTTGTTTTGGAAATATTTTAGTCTAAAACATCATTAAAGGCATGTCGACCCTCTTTATTTTTTAAATGTATCTCATGAACTCATAACACTGCTGAAATTCAAGGCCATTTGCGCCAAACAGGCTCCAATAAAAGAACACTTAAAACATTCAAAACTGTTGTTTATCTTACGTTTACAACAGGGGATAAAATCATAAACTATTTAATCACCACAGTAAGAAGTTTTCTCTATGTCGAAAAGGCTAAAGAATTCCCTCTTGAGGGATTCCATGTTAATATAATTTATTCTATTCTCTGTAGAGACACGAAAATAACCTTTCTTTATGATAATTAATAATTAACCTTTTAGCCTCTGCTGCTAAAACCTAATTTCAGTATCTTTGATCTACTGACCTTTCCTAAGAAACACATTAATAAACACTTCTTCATTCTGAAGATACCTATATGTATATACAAATATATACTCTCATATATATTAAAAAAGTAGGAGCACCTAACTCTGTTTCCTAGATAGTGAAATGAAAGCTCACAGTTTACCTGACTTGTTGAGGGCAAGTATTAAAAACCTCTGTACGAGTTTAAGAGTAAAAGTAGTCTGGCAAAAAAAAAATTCAATATTACTAGATACAAAACTAATACTATTTCAAAGAAGTCTAAGTAAAAAGAAAACCATAATTCAACAATTTTTATTTCTTCTTGATTGTAATGCAATATCCAAACAATGCTAATTAAATGAGTATTCCTATAATAAAGTATTAAAGCCTTATATTTTTGGAAATGGATGCTTGGAATAGTTACCATTAAAACATCTTTTCAAATTTAATATTCAGGTTTACTACCGCAATTGAGCATTTACACTTAACCTTTACCATTAAAAACAATAAACACATCCAATGTACGCACATAAATACAAATCTTCTAAGTTAAAATATGCACATCACCTACCTGTTTGCTTATAAATTGCTAATTCTTTTACAGTTTCCAAAAACTGCCAAAATTTTTCATTACTTTCTTCTGCCATAAATTCACTATTAAAAAAATAAAAGTAATCAGTTATTAGATAGAAATGAAAAATGGTTTAGATGCTATAAACTATATTTTAAAACCAAATTATAACTTATAGTAAAAAGAAAAACCTCCAAAAATTAATGTCAAGTTACTGATTTCCATTTACTATAATGCAGAAAGAGAACAAACTGATAATTCTTACCTGAGATATCATTTTCAACTACAAGCATATAATCATGACTGGAAAAGACTGCATGAGAAATTACTTTTGGCTTTTCCTTATTATTAGCTACAACTAAAAACTGGATAATTTATTTTGTTTCTCCATGTGAAATACCACTGAGGAGTATAATTTAATGGTAATGAAGAGAGTGTTACATAAAGGTAAAAAGTAAAAAAATAAAATAGACTGCTATTTTAATCAAACAAAAATTGATTCTATCAACACTTTTGAAAAGTTATATTATCTATTTTTATTTAGCTACTTATTTGTGTAATCTTTTTATTATTTAAAACAAACTACCTTAATAAAAAAATTAATAGGAAGTTGGCATATCACATTAGGTCTTTGGCCTTGAAGCCCAAAGAAACTTCCATTTTTCCACAGAGTATAGGTAACAAAACTGGCCAAAGCCATTTAAAACCTTTTAGAAATAATGAAGTAAGTGAAAGATTATTCAGTCCTGTATAGAACAAAGTGCAAGACACCTAAAATAAGTAGACTTAACTATTGAAACTGGAAAGAAAACAGCCACCAAACAATTGGTACAGACTCTTTCTTAGCTCTCGCCTTCCCTTTCTCTTTAGCCTTGGTAAATTTAAACTAATCCTGAATATAAATGGAAAGTATTGAGGATAGCCAAGACATATCCAGAGTAACTAACTGTTCTGAGTCTGAGATGGTCACCAAAGGAGGAAATGGAGCTGAGAAAAATTGATTAATTCATCAACATAAATATGACAAGCATAGGAATTTAAAGCAACAAGTAACTTTAAAACAACTCTGGCTATTAATGGTGTTCAACTCAATGTCATAAAAAAGAAAAGCAGCTAAAAGCAGAGCAAGCAATGGGAAACACTAAGTAGGATGTGAACCTGAAAAGGACAAGGATGGTACAAAGCCTTAAGAAAAGAAGGGAGCAACACTTAATACCTAACTGACTCGATTAAACAACCACAGACATGCTCGTATACCGCGCAACCATAGGTAAAAGACTTTTTCCACATGCCAGAATTCACACATCTAAGTGTGATCCTTCATACTTAAGTGATCACCTTAAAGTATTCACTTACACTTATTCCCTCAATATCCCACAGCTCTACGCACTTTTGGCACTCTTCTGGAATTACTTTCAGGGGTACTTTGTCAGTAACTCATCATTAATCTTAGAGAAGGAAATATCCTTGAAAGGCCATCTAAATCAGCACCTCACCTTCCAAAAAATATCACCTTTGGTCAAAGTTTAAAAAAGGGAAAACTCCAAAAAAACTGACATTTCCAATTTGGTCACTTGTCTTATATAATACTTTGTTCCAAATAACTTTTCCTGAAAAATCTTCTAGCAAAGAGAAAAAAAATTATTTCTATAGGGGGTGTTTTTATATGCACTAAAGAGCATGACAGTAATTACAAGTGGAATTCCAAAAAATATTTTCAGCAGGAGCAATGCCAGTGGAATAAATGCAGTTTAGAGGTATAAATTATGGTATATGTGTTGGAAAAGTTTAGCTCCATCAGCCTATAATCATGCTAGCAAACACTACTAAATTATAAACTTTTTTAGGTAGAGGACGCACGTTATTCAACTTTGTTTCCTACACAGTACCCATCAGAGGGCCATGCTCAAAATAGGCACTGAAAATTTTAGGCTAAACTAAAAGATATGTTTTACATATATATGTGTGTGTATATACACGCAGTTAAGAGACATCTCCAAGAAAAATGCTTTAAATAAAAGACACTGAGCTTCTCAAAAAGAAAGCTATTACTTTTCCTAAGTTCCTATCTCCTATGCTCCTTCAAACTACCCAATGCTCTTCAATTCTTCCTCTTCCACACTTACTTCCTTCAATTTCTTTGATTTTCCTAAAATTTTGATTTGAGAAACATTAAAAACCCGAAGATGAGCAGAACAATGAAGTCCAGAAAACATAAATAAAAAGTGCAATGGTTAAAGAAACTACAGGCTTCTAGCCTGCTACACTGTCACAAAGAAGAAAGAGATTTGGTTCAGAAGGATGATGTCAGGACCAATAGATAAAAAGTATAGTGGGAAAGATTTTAGTTGATAAAATAAATGACCTGCTAACAACTTATATTTGTTCACAACAGAACAAGCAGGTGCATGAAATTAACACTGAGCATCATGTCTAAATTATCCAAGCAAAGACCAGTTTCCAAAGGCCAGGCATACTGTAGAGGTAATCCTGATGCTGGTTTGAAGTATAGACTACCTTATAATGAGGTCCCTTCCATCGACTCAACATTAATAAGTACCTACTTCTGTGTACTGAGCCTTGAGGAAAAGAAGTATGAATAAGAAGTACTCTTGTCGCATCTACTGAACTAACACTTACTACTAATACTTTTTAAGCACCTACTTTTTGTTCACTGGGCCTTGGCAAAATACACATGAATAAGAAATACTCTCATGTCCTGAAGCTCACATTTTAGCAGGATAGATTAGCATACATGATACCTTGCAACAAAGATTATTACAAAAGTATTGACCAAATATTATGAGACCCTAAGACATTTGTTTTATCAGGGGAAAGGATAAGGCAAAGAGAGGAGTAATATGGTATGTCCACAAATAAGGTATCAATGAAGAAAAGACTGCAGTAGAGTGTTATATTTCTTTCCTAGGGCTATCATAATAAATTACCACAAACAGTGGCTCAAAACAAGAGAAATTTATTCTCTCACAGTCCTGAAGGTCAAAAATCTGGATTCTGTTTTTTGTTAAGATAAACACAACAGGTTCCAAGAGGTTAGAATGTGGATTTATCTTTTGCGGGGTGGAGGACGGGCACCATCCAAGCCTCAGTCCACCTTCTGGCTCCCTAAAATCCACATTTGTCCCATATACAAAATACATTTACCCCATCCCAACATCCCCTAACATAATCTCAACCCATTATAGCATCATCTCTAAATCCAAAGGCTCATGCAAATATCATTAGAAGTCTCAAATCTCATCACGTAAATCATCTAAACACAGTATGAGTGAGATCCGGGGTATGCTCCATCCTGAGGCAAAATTCTTCTCTGTATGTGGACCTATGAAACTAGAAAACAGATCTGCTTCCAAAACGCAATGGTGAGATAGGTATTCCAAATTCCAAAGACAGACATTCCAATTCCAAAATGGAGAAATTAGAAAGAATGAAGGAGTCGTCTGTCCCAAGCAAGTATGAAATCCTGGAGAACAAATTCTATTAGGTTTCAAGCACTGAGCATAATTCTCTGAGGCTTATTGCTCCACCCTCTATGCTGCCTGCCACAGCTCTGCCCTTAGTGTCACTCTTCCTTTTTCTTGAAGGGTAGTACATGTTTGCAGCCAAGCAGTTCTATCAGTCAATTTCCCTACCTATACAATTTTGGAAGTCTGACAGCCTTCTCTCTTTTCATCTTGTCTCTGTCCCTTTTGATCCAAGCTGGCAGTGTTTCTGCTGATACAACATAATCAAAACACTTACGCGTCTTCTTGTGTATCTCACCAGGGGGGGGCCATTACACAAGGATCCTCCATGGATCCTTCCTGGATAAGCTCATCTCTATTCCTGGCTTCTGCTGAGATAGTTGAGTGGATCCATGAGACACACTCCTAACCTATTTCAGCAAAAGTTTGTCCAGCCACATGTTCGGCCTTTTTTCCAGAGCACACATTCCCAACAATGAGTTTCCTAAATTTTAGCATCCTTTGCAATCTGAATAGGCTGAGACTCTCCCAAATTATCAAATGCTGATTTCTTTTTCGGTAACAGTTCCTTCTTCAACTTTTCTCCTTCCTCTTGCATTTTAATATAAGCAGTAAGGAAAAACCAGGTGACACCTTTAATACTTTGCTTGTAAATCTCCTCAGCTAACTATCCAAGTTCATGGCTTGCAAGTTCGGTTTTACACGCAACTGTAAAATGCAATCCAGCCGGTTTTCTGCCACTATATAACAAGGGTCATCTTTCTTCATTTCCAACAACACATCTGTCATTTCCTTCTGAGCCCTTGCCAGAAGTGCCTTTAATGTTCACATTTCTACTAACATTCTATTCATGAGGATTTAAGTATTCTCTAAGATGACAGAGCTTTTCCTGCCACGGCCCTCCCTCTCCTCTAAGTCTTTACCAGAATCACCTTTAATGTCCATATTTCTGCCAACAGTCTCCTCAAGACAATCTAGGCTTTTTCTACCACACTTCTCAAAACTCTTCCACCTTCTGCCTGATTCAACAGCTACTTCTATATTTTTAGGTATTTGTTACAGCAGCACCTACTTCAAGGTACCAAGCCTGTATTAGTTTCCTAGGGATGCTGTAAAATTAGCAAAAATTTGTTGACATAAAACAACAGAAACTTATTGTCTCAGAGTTCTGGAGGCCAAAAGTTCAGAATCAAGGTACTGGTAGGGCTACGCTCCCTCCAAAGGCTCTAGAGAGTATCTTTCCTTTCCTCTTCCAGCTTCTGGAGGCTTCAGGTGTTACTTTGCTTGTGGCTACATCAGTCCAATCTCTGCCTTTGTTCACATGGCCTTCTCCTCCTTCTCTGTGTCTTCTCCTCTTCTGTCTCTTAGAAGGACACTGGATTTATCACCCACCCAGACAATTCATGATATCTTGTCTCAAGACCTTTAACTTAATTACATCCGCAAAGATCCTTTTTCCAAATAAAATAACATTCACAGGTTCCAGGGGTTTGGAATGTGGACCTATCTTTTTGGGAGCTGCCATTCAACCCACTATGATGATGTTGGTACAAGAGACTGTACCTAGATCGTGAAAGACCTTAGGGAACATTCTGCAGAGTTCCAGTTCTAAGACTCTCGATGCAAACAGAAATCAGGACAACACTAAAATTACTGTTAGACTGATTTGGAACTGAGAATGGGATCAGATCCAGGCAAGCTCTGGGAAAAACTGGGGAAAAGACAGAGGAAGGGAACATATTTTGAGCTAGAATATTTTATTCAATACAAACTGTTTTATTACCTCTGATACCAAAGAAATACAAATAAGAGACTACTATGAACAATTATACACCAACAAACTGGAGAACCTAGAAGCAATGGATAAATTCCTAGAAATATACAACCTACCAAGATTGAATCAAAGAAATAGAAAATCTGAACAGACCAATTACTAGTAAGGAGGTTGAATCAGAAATGAAAAACCTCTCAACAAAGAAAAGTCCAGGACCAGATGGTTTCCTGGTGAATTCTACCAACCATTTAAAGAAGAATATCAATTCTTCTCAAACTCTTCCAAAACAGAAGGGGAAGGAACAGTCCCAAATTCATTCTACAAGGCCAGCATTACCCTGATACCAAAACCAGACAAGAACACCACAGGAAAATTACAAGCCAATATCTGATGAACAAAGATGCAAAACTCTCAACAAAATATTAGCAAACAGAATTCAACAACACATTAAAAGGATCATACATCAGTCATGGGATTTATTCCAGGAATGCGTGGATGGTTCAACATCTGCAAATCAATGTGAAACACATAACAAAATGAAGGATAAAAATCATAAGATCATCAACAGATGCAGAAAAAACCTTTGACAAAATTCAACACTCATTTATGATAAAAATTCTCAACAAAGTGGATATAGACAGAACGTACCTCAACACAATAAAGTCTATATAAGACAAGTCCATAGGTAACATCACATCCGACAGTGAAAAGCTGAAAGCTTTTCCTCCAAGATCAGAAATAAGACAAAGATATACACTCTCACTACTTTTATGCAACATAGCACTTGAAGTCCTAAGCCAGAGCAATTAGGCAAGAAAAAGAAATAGCCAAGCCCCATCCCGAGTAATGGACTCGAATCCAAATCAGAAAAGAAGTAAAACTGTCACTATTTGCAGGTGGCATAAAATAATATACAGAAACCCTAAAGACACCACCAAAAAATGGTTAGAACTGATAAACAAATTTAGTAAAGTGGCAAGATACAAAATCAACAAACAAAAATGTGTTTTGTTTCTATATATTAATAAGAACTACCAGAAAGAGAAATTAAGAAAACAATTCCATCAAAAGAAATAAAATACCTAGGAATAAATTTAACCAAGGTGGTGAAAGACCTGTACACTGAAAACTATAAGACACTGATGAAAGAAATTGAAGACACAAATAAATCCCTCTGCTCAGGGATTGGAATAATTAATCTTGTTAAAATACCCATACAATGCAAAAGCAATCCACAGATTCAATGCAACCTCTATCAAAACTCTAATGTCATTTTTCATAGAACTAGAACAAACAATCCTAAATTTGCATGTAACTATAAAAAACCCCAAATAGCCAAAGCAATCTTGAGAAAGAAGAACAAAGCTAGAGGAATCACACTCTCTGATTTCAAACTATATTACAAAGCTATAAGAATTAAAACGGTATGGTACTGGCATAAAAAAAGACACATAGATCAATGGAACAGAATAGAGAGCCCAGAAATAAACCCATGTATATATGGTGAATTAATTTATAACAAAGGAGCCAAGAATATACAATGGGGAATGACAGTCTCTTCAATAAATGCAGTTGGGAAAACTGGACAGGAACATGCAAAAGAAACTGGACCACTATCTTACACCATACACAAAAATTAACTCAAAATGGATTAATGACTTGAATGTAAGACCTGAAACCATAAAATTCCTAGAAGAAAACATAGGCAGTGAGCTCCTTGACATCATTCCTGGCGATGATTTTTTGGATTTGATATGAAAATCAAAGGCAACAGAAGCAAAAATTAAACAAGTGTGACTATATCAAACTAACAACCCTCTGTACAGCAAAAGAAATCATCAACAAAATCAAATGGCAACCCACATAATGGGAGAAAATATTTGCAAATCATATATCTGATAAGGGGTGAATATCCGAAATATACAAAGAACTCATAGAACTCAACAGCAAAAAACACTCCAATTAAAAAATGGTCAGAGGATCTGAATAGACAGTTTTCCAAAGAAAACACACAGATGGCTAACAGGTACATGAAAAGGTGCTCAAGATCATTAATCATGAGGGAAATGCAAACCAAAATCACGAGCTATCACCTCACACCTGTTTAGTCTGGCTATTATCCAAATGACAAGAGAGAACAAGTGCTAGCAAGAATGTAGAGAAAAGGGAACCCTTGTGCACCGCTGGTAGGAATGAAAATTGGTGCAGCCGATATGGAAAATGGTATGGAGGTTCCTCAAAAAATTTAAAAAGAACCACCACAGGATCCAGCAATTCCACTTCTGGGTATTTATCCGAAGGATGTGAAAACACTAACTTGAAAAGATCTCTACACTCCCATGTTCACTGCAACATTATTTACAACAGCAAAAATATGGAAACGACCTAAGTGTCCATTGATGGATAAACGGATAAAGAAAATGTGGCATATATATGAAATCAATGAAATCTTATTCAGCCATAAAAAGAGAAGGAAATTCTGCCATTTGTGACAACATGGATGGACCTTCAGGGCATAATACTAAGTGAAATAAGTCAGAGACAGACAAATACCATATGATCTTGCTTATATTAGAATCTTAAAAAACAAACAATCAAGAGAGCTCATATACACTAGCCCAGAGGCAGGGAGACTAGTGGGTGAAAGTGGTCAAAAAGGTACAAATTTTCAATTATAAAATAAGTCATGGGGATATAACGTACAGCATGGAGACTATGGTTAATAATACCATATTCCATATAGTATTCATTGTACTACTCTATTTTATATGAGGGATTTGAGCATCAGTGGATTTTGGTATCTGCAGTGGTTCCTGGAACCAAAATCCCCCACGGATATGGAGGGATGACTGTATTTGAAAGTTGCTAAGAGAGTAGATCTTAAAAGTTCCCATCACAAGAAAACGAAATTTTTGTAACTATACATGGTGAAGGATGTTAGCCTTAATTGAGAATGATCATTTCCCAATATATACAAATATTGAATCACTACGTTGTATACCTGAAACTAATGTAATGTCAATCATATCTCAATTTAAAAAAACTTTTAATCTCTTATATATGAAACGTAACGTGGGGTGACAACCTCTTTTTAGGACCCTAAGCTGTTGCTTTGGTGAACTGACAAAAGCAACTGGCGTTAAAACTTCATCTGGCTGAAGGAAAGAACTTGCAAATTTTACTACTGAAATACGACGAGCAAAATTCAATAGCTAGTAGTTTTGTTTCCGCACAGTACATGATACCTTCTCAACTAATTCCAGTGGAGGAGTTTCGGAAAAAAGTAATAACTTGTGGGAAGCTGTCTTCTCCACAGGAAGCCCAGGAGCCGACCGAATGATATTATCATTGTGAAACTAGATGCTTCAAGTACCGTTTCCTAAAAACAACTGCCTACATCGATTGAAGTGCTTGCATGAAACGCCACACTCCGCTCCCATCCTTCCTTTTCTTTCGTAAATGCTAATAAAATCCAAACGAATGAAACAAAAGCCCCTAAGTTTTAAAAACCTTGGGTAAGGAAAAGTAGGAACCGCGGGGAAAGGAACTGCAAGTGAGTGCTGGGCGCGGGGTAGCGGGGGAGGAGGTGATGCTCGAGGGCCGAGCACGAGGGCGCCTGGAGACGCGGTGCAAGATCTTGCGCCCTGGGCCGGCGCAGAGACGGCGTCCGAGGGGCCCTCGGGGTCCGCGCCTGCCCCCAGCCCCGCCGCACCCTCCTTCCGCGCCGGGCTCGGCAGAGGGTCCGATCCGCACCCACCTGGCCTCCAGCAGCAGCGGGGTCTCCGGCCACTTCGCAGCCAAGTGGGCCGTCACTGCCTTCGACGCGGAGGCCGTCTCGGAGCCGAACAGCGACAGCCACAGCGTCGTGGAGCCGAGGAGCAGCCGCACCACATTGGCTGCCTCTGCCATCGCGCGGAGAGGGAAACGCGATCCCCTGGGAACCGGCGCCCACTGCCCGCAGCCGCCACGCTACAGCCGGCTCCTCCCGCCGCGCGGCCGCCCACTTCCGGTGGGGGGAGCTCGAGTCCGTTACTCGGGACGGGGCTTGGCTAGAGCCATGCGCATGCGCGTCCCGCTCCGGCGCCGTCCTTGGAGGCCCGCCGGCCGACGCGGTGCCAGCCCCGAGCCACGTAGGTGCGGGCGGCGCCGGAATGAGGAGCAGTGTGGCTGATGCTCCGGCGGGTCTGCAACCAGACCTCCGATTCTCAGACAAAGGTTGTGGGACACTGGGTGGGAGGCGGACTCCCTGAGTCCGAACTAGGATTGCGGCCGGCTAAGGCTGGCTGGATACACCGAAATCTGGAAGCGAAGGCAGGAACCAGCGTGCATATCATCCACATTTACACAGGCGGAAAATAGGCCTAGCAGACTTCAAGTACCTACTTCACGGGGTTCTCAAATTTTATTGCATATTATTGACCAGGTAGAGCTTTTAGAAAGCCCGATGCCCAGACGGCGCCACACACCAATTACAGGGGAATCTCTGGGGATGAGATTCGGGCGTCAATAGTATTTAACCCTCCCCCCACCCACGTGATTCAAGTGTGCAATCATGTTCGAAAACCTGTGACAGTACCTGGGGGGTTTGTTAAAACACAGGGTGCCCGACCTCATCCCTGTGTTTCTGATTCAGTAGGTCTGGTGTGTGTGTGTGGGGGGGGGGGGGGGTGGCGGTCCAAGAACTTGCATTTCATGTCTGTCAAGTTCACAGGTGACGTTGATACTGCTGGCTGGGAACCACGCCTTTAGCCTTTGTATTCAGAGGTGGTCCACAGACCGGCAGCGTCAGCGTCTCTGTGAGTTCATTAGAAGCGCAGTCTCAGGCCCCAGCCCAGACCTACCGAATCCGAATTCCCCACTTTAACAGGAACCCCGGGTGATATTTGTGCGCAATAAAGTTTGAGAAAAGCTGATGTAGAGGATTACTGGTGAGAATTCATAGAAAAGTGCTAGTTGCTTTTATCATTATCACCCCAAATCACACAGCTGTGACTGAGTCTCGATATCAGCTGAGGACTATCTGGCCCCAAAGCTCATGCATTTCCTATATCATGCTCAAAGACAAAACCTTGCAACCGAGTTAACGGGCTTTCCAGTACATATGATTCATCAAATCAAAATATTCAGTTTTATTTAACTGGGCAGAACCTCAAGATTCTGGCTCCTAGTCAGGATTCTTTTTCTATTCCGAAGAGAGTAAATTTATTATAAATATTAAAATATACGGTAAAGAGAAGCAGCAGCTGGGAAAACAGTTTAGGAGGATGTACTGATCCGTTCTTTTTTTTCTCCCATTACTCCCTTTTGCTGTAGGGAATCTGGGTGTCTTGAAGCTGCCTAAATGTGAGCGCTCCACTTTTTCATTTCCCTTCCTTGGTTTAGTATATACTTTTCCATAAAAGACCTTGCTTTGGAAATTCTGCTTAGGTCTCACTTCCTAAGTTCAGCTTTCATTTCCTGATTTCTCCTACTTGGTTTGATCTCTCCCTTCTTTAAATTTCCATAAGCTCTTTATTTTAACGGTCATATACCACTTATAATTCTCACTTTAGAATTTGGATACAGTACTTATTTATTTCTCCTACTAAAGATGGAATTCCCTGAGGGCTCATGCCTTATTCATTTCAGCATCTCTTACAGTACCTAGCACAATCCATATTGTTGGGGCTCAATAAATATTGAAGAGTCCTTGTTTTATGGATAGGTAGGCAGAAAGCTGAGGCAGGTGAGTAAGGAGCTTAATTTCTATCTACAAAGCATAATAGAAAAATATATTATGAATCTTTAACAAGTATTTGCTTTAATTAACTCCTAATTCCCACTTATTTTTGGACTAAATTTCTGACAAATTATTGGAGGAGGGGAATAAAATATTGAGAGTGAATGTTTTAAATGTCACCATATCTGATGGCATCTTTGAGAAATGATTTGCCATATAAAAAGCTGCATAAAATACACTATTAAAGGACACTACTAAGACGTGTTAATATATGTTCCATTATATTTGAGTTCAGAATAGTGAGGAATGCTACATTTCTCTTTTAAAGAGATTGAAATTAATCTAATCCAGGGTCATTTATTTACATACTTATTATACACTTTAACTTACATAGTATTTTCCTAGAAATTTAAGTGTATTTGAAATATTCCTCAGATGGGGCATCCCTGGGCTTGCTTCTCATCTGTAGAACAGAAGAGTATGACTGATATTTCAGGTCTCTTCACTATGTAATTTCTGTGTACAGATAGAAAAACTAAAATGCAAAAATTGAGTAACTCAGGAAAGGTCATTCAAGTTAGTGAAGCAGCAAAGCATTCTAACAGCCGTTACCAACAACCTTCCAGCACAGATTGGTGATGAACTGTGTGTAGTTCGAGGACACAATTGTGCTTTAATATTTTTTAGCAAAATGTTATTTGAAGTTATTCACATCAGGGTAATATGAATGAAAACTGATGATGATAGCAGTTTTCTTTGTATGTGGAAGAAGTGATTAATGAGTGCTTTATAATAAGAATGTTGTGCTTAATAGAATAAATCATCTGGAATTACTTTAAGGTACATAAACTTTATTTAATGAAAATAGGTGGCGCCATGTGAGGATACAGTTATTGCCAGATATCACATAATATAATAAAACTTTAATTTTCTCCACCTGAATAAAGTCCCACAGCTGACGTGACTTTTTAAAAATATCATGCTGTAAGTCTTCCGGATTTCCCTTACTATAAGAAAGACCCGGGAGCCAGCCCATGCTGAGTCGTCAAGGTCGCACGCTCTGCTTCGGTGGCCTGGGGTTCACTCATTCGGATTCTGGGCGCAGACCTCCATACCACTCATCAAGCCATGCTGTGGCAGCATCCCATATAGAGGAACTGGAATGACTTACAACTAGGATATACAACTATGTGCTGGGGCTTTGGGGAAGAAACAAAAAAAAGAGGAAGATTGGTAACAGATCTTAGCTCAGGGCCAATCTCTCCTCACAAAAACAAAAAAAAGAAAGACCCTATTCGTAGTTTTTTATTTGAATATCTTTTGTGTGAGTGTCTGTGAAGAAGATTCATTCTGATCTAACATCCATCGCCATCTTCCTCTTTTTTTGCTTGAGGAAGATTAGCACTGGGCTAACGTCAGTGCCAGTCTTCCTTGACTTTGCATGTAGGTTGCTGCCGTGACATGGCTTGATGAGTCGTGTAGGTCCATACCCAGGCTCCGAACCCACCAACCCCAGCCGCTGAACTGGAGCCCACTGGACTTAACCACTATGCCTCAGGGCCAGCCCCTGAATATCTTAAATACGCAAAAGTGTCCTATGCTTCATTCAGTTGGCAGGAATTTATAGACTTATGCAATTTGTTATATTTCTACTCCCTAAGCAAGATTATACCAAAATCATAATCAACTGAGTAACGGTTTAGTTTCCTTTAATCTATTGGTTAATAGATTAAATAGACTGATAGATTAAAACAATTAATAGATTAATTGATTAATAGATAACCTATTGATTTGATTTTTGTTTACATATTTTCTTTGAAATAGATTACAAATGCCTCACAAATGTCTAATGCAGAAATGCATGATGAAAATTCTTTTAGTTTGATGAAATTCAGTGACTTTCAAATAGCAAAGTAAGTATGTGAAATATATAACTTTTAAGTTAATCATTTGAAATGATATAAGAACTTGAAATATGCTATTTAACAACAACCTTCCATACTTACATCTACAGGCAGTATTTTATAAGTATATGTTCAAAGGTTGCTAAGTCACTATTCTGTTGCTTCTGTTATTTGTTTCTTCAACAAAACACGTAGGAGTGAAACATGTTGGTGAAAAACAAGGAAACGTATTCTGCTTTCACATCTTCTAGTAAAGGTTAGTATAGTTAGATGTGCAAACTCATTAATTCATTCACAATGTATTGCATATCATCTATGGGGAGGTGACAGTATCATATATTGGGAAAGAAGACTGAGATGAATAAAATGATTAATGTCTTCCAAGGGCTTACGGTGTTATAAAGACATAAGAACATAAGCCCATACACTATTACAGAGAAAAATTAATACGATTCTATCGAAGTCCAGAAGAAGAAGACAAATTTTTAAGAAATCTTTTTGAACAAATAGCCTTAACGAACTTTCTCATTAAAACTGTTTCCTGAGTTTAAATCCAGCATTTTAAGAAGCTGCACACATTCTTTCAGTCCCAAGGGAAGCGTCTGAAAAGTACTGTCATGATTATTAATAACAAAAATAAGGATTTATACAGCAGCTGCTTTAAATTTATGTCATGAAACATGGTCTCAAACCATATGTGACTTTGTCATTTAGTTGGGAAGGTGGTACAGTACATAAAAATTAAAGTACATAGAAGGAGACATTTTATGTGACAAGATCCCAAGGACTGAACGTCACAATAAATATGACAGAAATTAAAGGAGGATGCAATCTCGGAATAGGTGGTGTAATGACACTTTGAAGGAAGTGTAGATAACTTAGATGACAGCTCTGCCATTGTAGCATGAATGTAGCCAAAGACAATACATAAACAAATGCATGTGGATATGTTCCAAAAAACTGTTACTTATGGACACTGAATTTCCTGTTTTCACATATCATGAAATATTATTCTTCTTTTGATTTTTTTTGAGGGGGTGAGGAATATTGTCCCTGAGCTAACATCTGTTGCCAGTCTTCTATTTTGTATGTGGGACGCTGCCACAGCATGGCTTGATGAGCGGTGTGTGTGCAGGTCCACACCTAGTATTTGAACCTACGAATCCTGGGCAGCCAAACGGAGCGTGTCAACTTAACCATCACACCACCAGGCCAACCCCCTTTTGCTTTTTTTTTTTTAAATTTAAAATTGTAAAAATCATTCTTAACTTGCAGGCTCTACATATTTGGCCCATGGACCAAAGTATGCCAACTTTTGCTCTAAAGAAAGTTTTTCAGGAAACCTGTACAAGAAAGCTTATAGAATTATTGTTTGTGATAACGAAAAACTGGG